AAAATCCCTCAACAATGAAAACCAGCCCATGGGACAGCATGCATGTGGAACATAGCTTGAAAAAAGACGCTAAACATATAAGGACACCTGTGTCTAAAGTACCTGATTGCTACAGCAGAACAAATATTCTGTGCTGCTGCTCATCCTAACTGCAATGAAAGAGGAAAAAGAAAAGGGAGATTTGGTAAGAGTAAAAAACAGAGGTAAAGAAAAAGACATTGCTTATTTGTTTCTGCAAGGACTCTAGGTGGACATGGCAGAAGAGAGGATGGGCCTTGGCTAACAAGTGTCATTGGATAAAAATCATTCCTCCACAGGGAAGTTGATAATGATTAAGAGCCTGATTGCATGATGGGATCAGCAGTGAGATGTGGCATATATCCAAGTCAAATCATACCATCTTCTCAACAGCCCAAGTGAGATGATACGGCCTGCATCAGGCCAAAATTAGAGCTTGGCATGTTTTTCATTGCAGCCTTCTGCTATAAAGACCTGAAGGTATTGAAACCTAGACTGAGGTAACATACTGCAGGCTCTCCCTCTCAAAAGGGAGGAAAGAGAGGAGTTAATCCAAACATGCCAATTCTCTTTCGCCCTGATGTAGCTTTTGTAAATTCACAGTTCTTTTTTTGTTTTGGTCCTGTTTAATATTTTGAAGATGAGGGATAGGGAACAGAGATTACCATTATCCACATGGGAGTCGCATGGTGTCAGCCTGTAGCTCAAGTTAGCTTCATCACACCCACAAGAGCATCCTTGAAGGCATCTCACTCCAGCTTAGGAAATCATGGGGAAGGAGCATGAGAACAAAGCACTGCCAAAGGGACTGGGTGGCCACCATGGAGCTGAGACCAAGCACTGCCACCCAGCTCAGCCCATAGCCTCAGGGGGTGCTCCAAGGTCACAAGTTCTCTTAGTTATGTAGAGAATAATTTCTAAATACTTTAAAGAGCTACCCCTGACTATTCTTGCATGCTATTTAAAATTCTTATCAAGGAAGGAAAACAGGAGACTCAATGCACAGAAATACATCCCTCCACCTGGAAATTATGCTAGAAAAAGGAAGTAACTTAAAATAGGAGGTAGGATGTAAAGACACCCAACATCCAGCTTCCCAGGCTCTGCGAGGATCCAGAGCTTGCACTGTAGTCATCAGTCCTGTTTCAGTAACACCATGAGACTTGAACTAGTACATGATGGCTTTCCAGGTGGTTGCTTAATATTTAATGGCAGAGCAGGACCAGTACCTACATCTCGGGACCCCCAACCCCATCTTGTGCCTGCGATACAGAAGCCAGAGTGCCCATGTCCAGTCAGCTATCCATCTGTGCTGCTTAGTGACTACCCAAAGCATCAAGACAATTTCTGCTACAGACTTCCAGCTGTGCTCTGCCTGACTCTTTGCCATCTGCACAAAAGGGAAAACACACAACCAGAATTTAGCAGGAAGTTTTGCAGGTACTTTGTATATTATCATGGAACCAGAACATTAATTATGGTCAAATATGTTTTGTTTCCATTCGCATACTCCTTCTTGGTCAGTCCAAATTAACTGGGTAGCTGTAGCAATGTGAAAGGTCCCCCTGCCCTTTTGGGCAGTCACTTCTATTGGGATTCTGCAGGATTTAATGAACAAGTGCTTCTCTGTGTTTATGGTATTCCAAGAGGTAAAAAGCTGGCTGAACTAGTGGCCTGTGACTGAAGTCACACAAATCTTTCAGGCAGGCTGGACTCCTCGAGTCCATCTCTGCAAACAAACAAGTATCTGGAACAGGAGACTGCCAGAGGCACAAGGAAGAAAAGGCATAAACACACTGTTTGGCTCAGCTCTTGCAAGCCTTTGTATTACATGCTTGTGGTCAGGGGAAGCAATTTTATTGGAAAAAAATGTTTCAGAGTGAATTTTCTACATAAAAATAACTCATTAATGGAGGATAACCCTGGCAACCAGATGGAAATGTCTGTGTTTAAATCTTGACACAAAAGGAACAAATTAAAACCCAGAAGAGATATGGTAATATGGGTACTTGCTCATTGCCTAACTGCATGCTAGTGTCAGTTGCCCCACTCCAGTGTTTACTGAGATTGTGCTTGTAGATGCTGAGATGTCAGAAGTACAAAAGCTTGTTGCACCACATCACTAACTAATTTTGCTAGGAAGATTAAAAGAGGTATTTTGTCCCTTGTGTGATTTGGAGAAATTGAGACGAATCAAGAAGACTCGATTTTGAATCAAGGGAGCAAACAAGAATGTGGACTTCATGTTTTTAAAAAAGCAGTTAAAAAATAGGTGTGCTCAGAAGGGAATCCTTCAATTTTCCATCTCTGTGTTATTTTAACTCAAAGTTGTCTTCCTTACTGTGGTCTTTCTACTCAGAGGTGCAGCAAACAAACCTCAAAAGAACATAATACTCCTCTGTATCATCTTCTTTCCTCCCTTGGCTGTTTCTCTTACAGGGAAATAAATACAGTAGGATCTGTTTGAGGCAGCCTGGTCATGTTGACAAGCTGGTCTTCAACCAGAAGTCACACAAGAATTATAATCAAAACCACATGGGACTATTTCAGGAAAGCATGTGGGCTGCTGGAGTGAAGGATGTACTGTATATGGAGAAACTGGTGTATCTCTCCTGTATTCCTCCAAAATGACACATATGCCTCAAAGAATCTTCCATGGTTGGAACCCAAACATGTTGGCTTGGAAGATTTGTTTACATTCAGCCCTTGTCTACATAACAAAGAGTTTGACCACCTCTCATCTCAACATCAGTGAGAACATATGCTGCTTTCTTTAATCCAGTTCTTGGAGATAGTTTCTCCTGAATAAACACAGTAAGAAACAGCAAGCAGGGATCTTGCACGGCCTCTAGGCTACAAATGCATCATTATTCACACAGTGTTTTTCCCCTTAAACCCCACACATTGTCAAGGGTATTTATAGGACTCCTCCCAGCAGTAGCAGTTAACAATATAAGCAGCCAGTAAGTTTCAGGGGTGCACTGGATGCAAAGATAATCCTGGTTTTGCACTTTCACTGGGTATTTTGGGAGATTTTGTCTATCAGCTTGGAGCCTGCAGGACCTTCAGAGCCAAAGTAATAAAATTCACACTGTTCAGCATTATTCATTGAGTTGAGAGGTTGCAGCATCACATCTGAAATTGTGGGTGGCTTTCCAGCAAACACCTATTGCTGCTGAACAGGGGGGCAGGCTCCAAACTGAAACTCGCCTCGTGCCTTTGTGAACTTACAGCTTTGCTAAGAGAGATTTTCAAAGGTGTTGCTGACAGGTAACTGCTTAACCGCCCCTTGGTGCTCTTGAAAACCTCTTCTGCTTTATGAACCAATTCGCAGGTCCAGCCAGACACAGCTTTGCACCACGTGCGGGCTGCTACCAGAACAGTGTGGTGGGGCCACTTCTGGCACAGGATGTCTTGCAGTAAAGCCTAGAACCAGCTTTTAAATCCCTTTTCTCCATGTTGCCCAGGACTTTCTGGGGGGTGGCTGCAAAAGCCTAATGCTTCATTTCCTCTCTTCCACCAGCTTTTAAAAGTGGGAATGAGCTGTTTTTATTCGACCACTTGGCCTTCCTTGCAGTAGTCCTTGGGAAATGGAGTCTGTACACTGCCTTCAAAGCTGACTGAGCAAACAGATAGGGCACAGAATTGGAAGTCAGTAGGTTAGAATAGAATAGAGTAGAATAGAATGGAATAGGATAGGATAGAATAGGATAGGATAGACGGGTTGGAAAAGACCTTTAACGTTAAGTCCAGCCATTACCCCAGCACTGCCAAGGCCACCACTAAACCATTTCACTAAGGCCCTGGGCAGCCTGTTCCAATGCCTGACCACCCTTTGGGGAAGAGATTGTTCCAAATAATCCAGTCTAAACCTCCCTTGGCGCAGCCTGAGGCCATTTCTTCTTCTCCCATCCCTTGTTCCTTGGGAGAAGAGACCAACCCCACCTCACTCCACCCTCCTTTCAGGCAGTTGTAGAGAGTGATAAGGTCCCCCTTGAGCCTTCTCTTCTCCAGAGTAAACCCCCTAGGTCCCTCAGCTGCTCCTCATCAGCTCCAGGCCCTTTCACACCTCTGTTGCCCTTCTCTGTTGCATTTCAATCTCTCTCCCATAGCGAGGGATGCAGCCCTGCTTCTATCTGAGTGTTACCTGCAGAAGGCAGATTTACCTCTCATTCCTGTGCCAAATGTTTGGGCTGTGAGAACTTTGCAGTAAGGATAATATCTCCTTGCAATTTTGTGCAGCATCAGCCTTACAAGAACTCTGATTTTAGGTGACTCCAGTCACAATAGTAAGAGGCAGCCCATAGACAGACACCAAGGGCTAAATCTAATAGAGTTAATGAACACCTTGTACAATGCAGCAGCTTGAGTCTTCTTTAATATTTTCACCAAGTCATTCCCTCTAACATATCTATTAAAGTTTGCTAATTACACAGTTATGCAGCACTGATACTAAGTTAAAGTACTCCAGCTGTATAAATAGAGAAACACTTAGGCAATTGCTTTTATTTGGGTAATAGTTTCACTTGCTACTTCAGGGCTATTTAAAGAAGCTGCTCTCCCTACTAATGGCTAAAATAAAACAAGCTGATGGATCTGTCATCATTCCTGATGGATGGATGCCAGCATCACAAATCAATCCTCCACAGTCAGCTCTTATTAGCACCTTGCTGGCAGTATCCCTCTGAAGATCCATGCCTGAGTCAGGGAGAAAACAAGCCTTCCACTGATTCTATCACATTTGGAGCCTGAAGCACACAGATATCACAGTCAGGTCAGTTGTCCTGGGTATAAGCAAAAATGAATGGGAAATTCTGATGCCTGACAAATTTTTCTGCCTACTCTGAAAGGGTTTTGTTAACTCAGCACCTTGTTCCCAAAAACCTGTGGTGTTGATCCAAAATGATGCAACAAGCAAGGCTCAAAACAGGAAACAGAAGAAGGAAGTATGATGGTGATAATGAGGCCAGGCAGTTCATCAGCAAGAAACAAGCACATTTTCACTTTTAGTATTAACTTACTATTAACTTAACTTATTAACCCTTCTCCCTGATCTGGTGTCTTCCCTTCATGACAGCGAGTATTCAGGGTTGATATAGAGTCATCCATGAAACTGTGAAAGTTATTTACTCAAGAATAGAAGTTGCAAAAAGGTGAATGGAAAGGCTACAACTTTGGCCCAAGCCAGGACACAGCAAGAAGCACAACTCTGGCAGAGGAAAGTGAGCAGAGTGGGGTAGAAATGCAGCATAGGTAGCTCTTTCTTGGGATGGATTACAATGGTACTGTCTAATGCACAGAATATACACCCTCTATGCTTGTTTTTCCACCATTAAACTCCTGGGTTTTATTTGCAGGGTGAGCAGAGGGAGGAAGGAAAAAAATGGTAAAAAAGAAAAAAAAAAACAAACAACCCCAGGGAGCTAAAGTAAGCTCACTTCAAAATAATTTTTAATGGTCACCTATGGCTTGAAATAGAAAATGTATAGAGTAAGGTAAGTGCAAGATTTAAGCTTCCAGCCATTAGGATACACCTGAATGCACTGTTGCTTAATAGGGGTGCTCAGATGGTAGCTAAAGGAAGAGTATAGAAACATGGAAGCCCATCAAACCAGTATATGTCAAATGCCTCTGTGACATGATAGGAACACAGAATTTGAGAGCAATAATATAGTCAAACTGCTCATACACTTCTCACAGATGTATTGAGAACCTTTTAAAAAACGTGAATATCTTTTACAAGAATGATCTTTAACAAAGATTTGCTCCATGGAATTGGAAGACAGCTGGGAAAAGGACAGTTTAACTATTGGAAATCAAGTCCCGTTGGCAAATAGGTGTTAGAGGTGTTTGTTCTCTTTCAAAAAGAGATCAGTTTTGAGGGGTACAAGTGTTTGGAAATCAATAGTTAGATACCAGTGTTTAGAAGCACAGGAGGAATATGCTTCCAAATAAGATGCACACCTGTGTTTGCATAGTCATCCAAATCTGGTGAGAAGGTGGCTCTTCCTGAGTTTCCACAAGTATTTTTCAGTGTGAGCAGTGCCTATAAGCCAAAAGAAAAAGAAATAATCAGTTGAATGAAGTCTTGCAAGATTTTACTAGATAAATATGAAAATGTATCTTCCAAAATGAGACTGGGCATCCTGGGGTGGATGTCAGCCTGGGAGCTGTGCCGTTTAGGCTGGGCTTTGCGGTAGGATGAATTTCAACTGGATGCTTTTAGTTGTAACAGCATACTGCACTTAAATTTGGTTACTTAACAGTATTCATCAAAGCGAGCAATGTGCCCGAGGAAGAGAAGCAGATAAATCTAATCCAAGCACCTTTGCTATATTGACAGGAAAAGGACAGGTCACATTTGTGTGACCTTTTTTTCTCAAAGTCCAATCTTTGCCCAGTCGTGCGCAATCACCGCACAAGTTCATTCCCCACTGTCAGCAGGACAGGCAATATTGAAATAAGTGCACGATGACATCTACTCGTGTTAAAAATAGCAAAACCAAAACAAACAAAACCCCCTCCAACTAACCAGCAACAGCAGCCTGTTCAGTAAAAAACAACATGGTATTGGCCCCTTTAAGTGGAGGAGGTTTAAACCTCTGGGAGTCTCTGGGATGAATCTCCCAGGCTCTTGCAGCTAAAGGGTCTGTGTCACTTGCCGCTTTCCCCTTTTCCCTCCATGTGCAGACTCACACTTGCCCCGTGTGGCTGAGCTCCAAGGCATCATTCCTAGCCAATTGCCTGTGTTGTATCCTCATGGGGGGAATAAAGATCCCTTTAAAAATAATTGTGTTTCAGTTAGGAGGGAGGCAGAGGGGTGTGCTAGACCCAAGCACAAGGCTAGAGAGCTCCAGCTAGGGAGTAAAGCTGGTCTGGTCTGTTTGCCTCTTTGAAGGGCTGCTTTAGGGTCTGCCTCCAAGTTCAGGATTTTCCATCCTGAACCTGATTTGAACCTGAATCAGAGCCCAAGTTTCCGTTGGACATAAATCAGTTTTGGACAGATCTTGTCCCTGAGACACATGTGAGCAACTCCCGTTGAAGTTAAGGGCTGATGTGTGCGTGCACGTGTCTGTGTAACTGTAGGAAGGTCATAACTAAGTGCCTATTCTATAAACTTTGGGTACTCGTTTGATGTGTTTCTTGCCTTTCATTGCCTCTTTACTCACTAGTGATTCTTGTTTTTCAGTATTTGGAAAGAACAAGGCTTCTCCTGATGGTGGCTGTTACTCTCAGAAGATATCATACACAGTCTTAAATGTCCAGTTAACCTGCAGGCATAACAAGGCAGGGGGAAAAGATGATCCGCCAGGGAAGCTGTATGGTACGTGCACGGAGCACATGGGAAATTTCTCAGAGAATGTGGTTTTGGGTCTTTTTTTCCCCTGTCAAAGGAGGCTGCTCAAGAAGTGAAGGAGAGTTTCGAACAAGAGTGGAAGCCTCACACCTGGAATAAAGAAAATATCTGAAGCAAACACAGACTCGATTACTTCTCTAGTGTCAGATAGAAAGCTACATATCACAGGCATGTGAGCAGTCTTGTTAAACATGTAAGAGATGGTTGATCTGTTCTGGTCCCTCTCTACAAAGGGCCATACCTGTCCCCAGTTGTTGCTTCCATGACAGATGTGACTTAGAAAATGACAGTTTGTTTCTGGTTATAATAACCTTAAATATTTAGAGATTATCTTTGCTGCATTCAAGAGACATTTTTCTTGTTTGTTTTTCTCCTGAAAACTATACCTAAATTCAGTTCAGCATCATGTATAGAGTTGCTCTGTGCATGGAAAAAAGCTAATAGCTCCAAGTATAGCAGAGTATGAAATGGATCTCCATACCTTCAAGCTCTCAGGGAGAATGGGAAAAAAACACTGGATCAAATTTAGCTTTGGCATAAGCGGGTGCAATTCCCAGAGGGATTTGCACCCGCTTATGCCAGGATTGAGTTTGACTCATGGAGCTTGCAGGGTGGTCGCGTAATTAAATTCTATGGTGGTTCAGTGTATTGCTACAATGCCAAATGATGCAATATTTTTCAGAGAGGACAGCTGTGCATTATTTAAAACAAAATCATCTACTACCTTTATTACCAGCTTGCTCTCAAGGTTCAGCAGTTTTCCAAGGCATCACTGAGGCATCTTAAGCTTTTGTCTTCAGACAGGAACACTGACAGTCTGAATTATATGCTGCTTCCTCCTTATTAGACGCTGCTTATAAAAAAAGTACTGCCACTGTGGTCTACAGTTCAATGAAGTCCATTGTAAACTCCCCAGTATAACATAAACCTCCCTAAAACACATAAAATTATTGGCTTCCAAGACCAGTCTCACTGAAAGAAAGCTCTGTATTTAGTCTTTGCTTAAAACACAGGTATTTGGTAGGATGGAATTCAAAATCCCAACTCAGTTTTAAAAGGTTGGGTCCAAGGAAAGTTGACACAGACCATGTAATTTTAATTAAAGAAAGATTTCGCTCCTTTATAGCCAACAGGGGCATTGTAACATTGACATATTGATGCTAAATAATTATGAGTCCATAAATAATTCAGTATATAAAAATGCTGTATGGCTGGTGCCAGGTAGCGAAGGGAATAGCATTGAAATAGCTGACCTGCCAGGTTACTACTACAATGCCAGGGGATAGACAGGCAATGTGACCTAGCAGCTATCAAAACAGTGAACACCACAGGCTACACTACCCACAGAGAGCACTTGAAAGTGGAAAACCTAGGGCTGTCCAGTTTTGTCAACTCAGTATTTTAGCGCCGCTGTCATAGAAGAGGATAAACTTTAAGGAGTGGTACCAAGGAGAAAGGCAATAGGGGAATCACATGAAGAAAGAGAAATATTAAAAAGCAAATTAATGATGAAACAGGAACACCTTTACTTTTTTTTTTTCCAGGAGTTGGGTGAATACCACAAACTTATTTCCATAGATAACTATTTACCTTTAAGACCGAATTCAGTTCAGATGTGCTCACTTTCCATGAACTTTCAGAAGTCAAACATTCATTGGCATAGATAACTGGGAAAACAGACTTCAACCTCTCGCTCCAGGGTATTCATGCCAGCAGGGACATATTTTAAGAAAGATGGTATTTTAGTGTTTGATTTATTTAAAAGCTTGATAAGGAGTCTTATCTTTCCCAAATGAAACATGTCACACAAGTTTGTGATGAGAACCATACCCACAGAGCTTTCCAAATACGTTTCTGGTCTGTGCTATTAGCCGTACTGACATTTGAAACTGCTCTGCCCATGGATGCTGTGAGATCAATACATCTTTATAAGCAAAGAACACGAGGATGAGGGTGAATCAGAGGCCTCAGGCAGGTACTGTAAATCAATCTCCTTAAAGCTTCACAAACAGGTGCACAGAGATGAAGATTGCATTGAAACCTTCCTCAATTAATTAACTACAACAACCATGTGACTGGGCACCTATGAAAGCTCCATGGCTTGATAAAGATAAAAAAAAAGGTTTTCCATTTTATTTCCCAAGATGAACCTGGAAGGACAATTCTGTTCCTTACCCTTTGGAAAGGGTCAGAGGCTTCAAGTGCCTTCTTTGATTACAAGCATTGTATTGACCAAAAGGTAAACAACTAACAGCTTGTCAGCTCAAACAAGAATATCCTATGGAACCCCCTTGTGTTGGATTAAATTATCAGTGTGAAGACATCTGCTAACAGCAGCATTAAGAGACTTGATAAAGTCAGGGCTTGCTGGAGGAGCAAGTGCTAAATAAGAATAAAAAGGAAATGTTGGACTTCTCCTTACATCTACCAAAATTGAAAGACTACACCAATCCAAGAAAACCCTTGCAGTTAGCAAACTGTGTGGTTTTACTAATTTACCCCTGCAGATTTAGCTTTCCATGCTTGGGCTTGGTTCATTGCCCCTCTCCCACCTACCCTAGATCTTTCTACATGCTCCATGCTTCCCTGTGAGTGTTTGATTTTCATTAGTAAATTAGAACAGAAAAAAGAAAAATAAAGAAACTTTTTCCCTTAAGGAAATAGTCTTCGAATATCTGTGTGCTCACTTCTGTGTCTGCACATATGGTGGCAAAGACACAGCCTGTCTCTTGGAGGGCCAAGCCGCATGATGGCTGCTGTGGGAGAGCCAGGTCTACCTCCAGGTTCCTACACACCAGCTGGTGGGATGCAAGCAGCTACTCCGCCAGGTCCTGGCAACTACAAGGGGGTATGGGCCATGGAAGTGCAAAATAAATCCCAGGGACACTCTTATGTGCCAATCCAAGGTTGCTGAGGGGTTTGCACTGGTTCCACGCAACTCTTGTCATGACTCCACTGCAGGTGCAGCCCGCTTTCATCCTCTAAATCAAGACATTTCCTTTCCCATAGTTTGGGAAAATAATAGACTCTTCCAGCTCCAATCAGAATTGAACCTCCCAGTGAATGATTTCTTCCTTCTTTATTCTTCTTCTCACTGCCAATGACAGCTGCCTTATGGTTGCCATTGCAAGAACCAGTGTTAAAGGCATTCCTGAGAGCTTGCTAGTGCAGTTCGCTCTACTCAAAAGCTTCATCCTCCTTTTTATTTTGAAAGAGGAGTATACCCAGCTCCCTGACCTGGGTCCCTAGTCTCACTTCAGAGGTGGAACCCATGCTTCAGTTTTGGAGTAACAGAAGACCCTGAAGCCTACTAGTGGACCGCTTTCACAGAGCTAGGGAATGGTCTACACAAGTGGCCATCAGCAGTACGTACCCCTGAATCTTCATCAGGACTCGGAACTTACAGCGGTCACTTATCACCACATTTATTTAGGAGGGGAGCTTTGCTAAGACCTCAGCATTGGCTGAATTTTATCCCCTCCAAACCAATCAGGCTTTGGGGGATGTTTTCAAATTCAGGAGGACCAGAGCAAGTCCAGGCCAGAGGGAATGAGCTCTTGGTTCACTGCAAACAAGATGCAAGCCACCCACCACAAATTCACATGCACACTAAGCATTGGGAATTCTCATAAAATTATCACTCTCCTTTTTTGCTTAATCCTGGCAGATGACAGAAAACCAAGACAAAA